AAGGGTCGACTCGGGAGTAAAGGCTCAGGTGGACAGTGAATGGCCCCTCCCATAGGGAATAAAAGAGGAGCGAAAGGAGAGTGGGGTTTGCAGGAAACACTTAGTTCAATTCGTTAGGGTGAAGATCTGTTCCTGACGTCTTGCCAAGTAATTGCTGCTACAGCGTGGCATTTGGAAGGTATCGGCCTGGCAACTCTCCCAGCCTGATAAGGTCTGTGGTTGTAATTCACCCTTGAAAGACGGTTTGCTGGGTCTTTGCGGGAGAGGAATTCAACTTGAGCCTAAATAAAAGTGTTTTATCAGGACGAGGAGTCGGCTTCGTGATCTTGGGACGCCTAAGTTCATCCCCACGCCGGGCTCATCCCCACGCTGGCCTCCTCTTGATATTTTGGATTTGAACTCCCCAAATTCTCAGCCCCAGCCATTACAGATATTCTTCATTTGTTTAGTGACCATTCCAACTTATGACAGTGGCAGCCTCCCTGTGGTCACGTGATCAAAATTGAGCCGCTTGGCAACTGACTCGTATTTATGACAGTTGCCGCCATCCTGGATCCCCTTTTGTGACTTTCTGATGAGCACAGTCCAATGGGGAAAGCCAGATCCGCTTAACCACCAGCTTACTGACTTCACCGTTGAAGTGATTCACTTAACAACTTTGGCAAGGAATGTCGGTCCAACGGGGGCCAAATTCACTTCATGTCAGCCCTGAAACCATTTTGGAGAAACTTCAGGGCTGCTGCCACAGCAAGGCCGGCTGTTGCTGTGGGAACATGAGATGTGGGGGGACATAGGGCTCACTTAGCCAAGGGTGGGATTCTACCAGTTTGGACTGGTTCCGTTGTGGTTCGCCAGCAGCCGGTGCAGACGGCAGTGGAATCGGACAGTGGGGAAGAAAGGGGACCAATCAGGGAGTCTGAAGAGGACTTGGATGAGGGTCCTGCATCCGATACAGAGATGGGGCGAGGGCCATCTGGGAGTGGGAGCCTTCGGAAGTCTGGCAGCAGCGAGGAAGAGGACCCAGGGGAGCCTGTTCCCAGGGCATGCTTGTGCATAGCTGCTAGAAGGCGAGAGCAGCTGAAGCAGAAGGGGCAACTCAGGAGAAAGGCTGGAAGGTGATTGCCCCTCCCATAAGGGATAAAAGTCAGGCCAAGATGATGAAACCTTTGCAGGAAGCAATGTCGTTCAGTAATTTCCGAGTCCTTCTTGAAGCTCTGTGAACTCGAGTTGGTTTTTTTCTGGGACTTGGGTTGGTTTATGTTATAATTAATTGGACTTCTGGGTTTTTTTGGCAGCACTGAAAGGCATGTGCTCATCTTGGGGAACTAAGATAAGTTCTGGCTGGGAATGCAAGTCATTCCCAGCGTGGCCTTGCTTTTAAAACAAGTACATGTTTCAGTATGTTTGACGAAGCCTGCGTCAGAACAGGGTTCAAGTGAACCAGATGTCAAATTTCCATCTGGTTCGCCAAACCGGTATTTGAACCGATTGGCTGGCCCTGTCCACCCTGCACTGCCCCTCCCCAGAGACGCCACATGGCCTGTTTTCAATGCAGGTCAGTGCAGGGTCCACACAGAGGCTCTGAGAGGGAGAAAAACAGCCCTACCGGAGGTACCAAAAGTCATGTTTCTGGCTTCCAGAGCCCGAGGGAGGCCATTTTCGCCCTCCCAGAGTCCCGAGGGAAGCCTCGGGACTCTGGGGAAGGTGAAAAACGCCCCTCCCGGAAGTCCCGGTAGGCCACGCCAAACCAATAACCGGGTAGCGAACCGGTTGCTGGGGTTTTTGAATCCCGCCCCTGTACCTAGCAACCTAAATGCCGGGCTCAATGGTGGTCATAACTTGAGGACTACCTGTAACGTGTTCGAAACCAAGGGTTTTTGGAAGTCCAACCTTGAGATGAAGGTGGGGAAGCTAAGGAGGAGAAAAAGACCGAAACCAAAGACTCCCAAACAAGACCTGAGGATTCTGGGGTATACTTACTCACACGCTGTGGAGCCGGGCCACTGTCGATGCTTCCTCCAAACCCCCGGACACTGCAGTGAGGAGGGGCCCATCCGTAGCTGCAGTGGCAATTCTTTTTGCTGTTGCAGACCTGAAATGCATCGAGTTTATGATCAGCCAAGAACCGTGTTTCCTTTCCTTGGAGAAGGATAATCTGATTGTGTGGGGTCCTCGGTGCTCTCTGAGCTGGGTGGCTTTCTTGCAGACGTTTCATGACCCAACTAGGTGACATCATCAGTGCTAGGAGGGAGAGAGGATTCAGGAGGAGGAGGAGGAGGAGGAGGAGGAGGAGGAGGAGGAAGGACGATGATTGTGGGTCCTTGGTGCTCTCTGAGTATGGTTGTTTTCTTGCAGACGTTTCATGACCCAACTAGGTGACATCATCAGTGCTGGAGGGGAGTGGGATTTGCATAGAGGAGGAGGAGGAAGAGGTGGTGGTGGTGGAGGAGGAGGAGGAAGAGGACAATGAGACTGTGGGGTCCTTGGTGCTCTCTGAACTGGGTGGTTTTCTTGCAGACGTTTCATGACCCATCTAGGTGACATCATCAGGGCTAGAAGCAGGTGGGGGTTGTGGAGGAGGAGGAGGAGGAGGAGATGACTACAGGATCCTTAGTTCTCTCTATGATAGGTTGCTTTTTGTAGACGTTTCGTTACCCAAACAGGTAACATCACCACTGTAGCAGTGGTGTAATAATACTAGTACCCTCCCTCCTTATAGCCCTGACGATGTTACCTAGTTGGGTCACGAAAGTTGGGAGGTGAACTAAAACCTGCCCCCGCCAAACTTTCTGGTATCCCGATCTCTTCTCGGAACTTCAGCTCCTCATTACTTACCCCCTGGTTGTTACACTTGGAAAAATCACAGTCATAATTCAAAACTGTCTTGTTGACGCACGACCGATTTATGCATATCTAGAAAAAAAGGAAAAGAAACAATGGCCGGCTGAGGAATTTTGGGAGTTTGAAGTCCACCAGTCTTAAAACAGCTAAGGTTGGAGACCCCTGGCATAGAACGCGCAGGGACACATGAGTGCCAGCCACTCTCTCCTCTCCTGGCAAAGCCAACTCCATTTCTGGGCTCGCTCGCCGTGCCGTATTCCTTTTCCCTCTTTCCCACCCGGATCCTTCCCCATCTGACCTTGCTGGCACCGCAGGATGAGCCATCTCTCGCTATTCCATCATCCTTCCCCTCGTCCTGCAGGTGAGAGATGACACTCCAGCACAAAACGTCCTCAATGGGGGTCTGGAGGATGGAGAAGCCCGGGGGAATTCTGGGAACTTTATGGACATTAGTGCACTGGAGCCTCCCACAGAACACATCTCTGGGAACAAAGACAGGAAGACAGAAGTGGGGGTGACCTTCTCCCGCTGCGCCATAGAGAGCATCTTAACTTCCTGCACACCTGTGTAGGGTTTGCCCATTGCACAGGGGCAGATGGGACAGCACTCCAGAGGGTGAATGTCATTGCCCAGAGGATCCTGGGTTGCCCTCTCCCCTCTTTGGAAGAGCTTTATAGCTCCCGCTGCCTTAAGAAAGCTCAAAACATCCTCAAAGATCCATCTCATCCTGTGCACCCCCCCTTTTTTTTGAGCTATTACCACCTGGCAGACGGTACAGGATAATAAAAACAAGGACAAATAGGCTGAAAAACAGCTTCTATCCCAGGGCAGAAACTCTGTTGAATTCCACTGTATAGTGCAATATTAACGCAATATCGATTGTATAGAATGCAATTGCCCTCTGCCCTCTTTGGAAGAGCTTTAAGAAAGTTCAAAACATCCTCAAAGATCCATCTCATCCATGGACACTCTTTTTTTGAACTATTACCATCTGGCAGACGGTACAGGAGAATAATAAAAACAAGGACAAATAGGCTGAAAAACAGCTTTTATCCCAGGGCTGTAGCTCTGTTGAATTCCACTGTATAGTGCAACATTAATGCAATATCAGGGTTTTTCAATTCAATGTGTGGAGTGTGAAGGATGTGCGTTTGTGTTTGTTTTCATGGTCATGATGTGCACTGAAGATGGGGTTTGATTTCGTTGTACGGGATGCAAAGACAATAAAGTAAACGAAACTAAAGATCCCAGATTGCAGGGCTGGGCTCCTACCGGTTCGCACCGGTTCAGGCGAACCGGTAGCTCGTTTTATGGGCAGTTCGGTGAACCGGCAAATCCCACCTCCAGAGCCCAAGGAGGCTGTTTTTGCCCTCCCGGAGGTTCGAGGAAAGCCTCCGGAGGCCGGGGGAGGGCGAAAACACCCCCCTCCCCATACCCCGTCTTCACTCCCAGGCCAGGGTGGTGCAGGAGGCTGACTAGGCCACGCCCACCATGACCACACCCATCCAGCAACTGGGCAGAGAACCGGTTGCTCCATATATATTTTTTTTGGGAATCCCACTCTGGCCTGATTGGCTTCTGGTGGCTTTTAGGAGGAGGAAAGCCCTGCCTGAATTCGGTAGCTGGCTTTCAGGTTGGGAAGAAAGGAACTAGAGATCCTTCTGCACCTTGATGGAACCTAAAAGTAAAACTCTCCCATCTCTAGCCAGAAATAGAGAGGAGGGAGAGTATAGGAGGTGGAACTGACTTAGCGGCTGGAGAGCCTAAATCAGTACTTTTCAACTTCGGCAACTTTAAGACGGGTGGATTTCGGTTCCCGGAATTTTCCAGCCGGCATGGGCAGACTTCAACTTCTATAATTCCCCCAGCCAACATAACTAGACTTCAACTCCCACAATTCCCCAGCCAGCACAGGTGTGGACCTCAACTCCCAGAATTCCCCAGGCAACATGTGGATTTCAACTTTCAGAGTTCCCCAACCAATAATAGTGGACTCCAACTCCCACGATTCTCCAGCCAGCATGGGCAGACTTCAACTTCTATCATTTCCCAGCCAGCAGGAGTGGGCTTCAACTCCCAGAATTCCCCAGCCAACATGAATTGAATTCTGGGAGTTGAAGTCCACCCATGATAAAGTTGCCACGATTGGGGAAAAAAAAATGTGGCTATACGTAGGAGTTGTCAAACAAAGGACGCTTTTTTTAGTGCTCTTAAAAATGGAAGAGAGTCTACCTTCCTATTTTTCATTTTTTCTAATTTTTCATGATGGGAAAACTTAAAGAGAAACTCCCAGGGGAAAAAAAAAAGTCTTAAAGGAGAAAGGCTTTCCTTCCTACTAAGGCTTTAAAAGAGAATAATGCTAAGAGAACATAATTAGACCTTAATCTCCGAATTCAATCCAGAGGATCAGAGTGGGGTACAAATTTGCAGATCCTTCTTATCTCTTGGAAGTGCAACTACACCCATGATGCAGACTGACTGGGGCATCCTGAGAGTCGAAGTTCCACCCATCTGAAAGTTGCCATACCTGAAAACGACTTCCTGAATCCATCTCTTTTATCCATGTAGTTCCTCTGCTTATAGAAGCGACCGTCTAAAGCACATTTGAGAGATTAGAAAGAGTTCAGCTCATCAAGTCCCAACGCGCCGTCAGAATAACAGAATCACAGAGATGGGACCTTGGAGGTCTTCTAGTCCAACCCCCTGCTCAAGCAAAGGGACCTTATACCCATTTCAGACCCATGGCTGTCCAGTCACTTCTTGAAAGCCTCCAGGGTTGGAGCACCCACCACTTCTGGTGGCAAGGAGTTCCACTGATTAATTCTTCTAACCGTCAAACCTGCCTTCTGATGTGCCTTTCATGCAAGCCAGGAAATGCTAGTTGGGACAACTTTCTCTCGCCACCCCACCCCCCGATGCCCAGGGGTCAACGAGTGGCCTTACTTTTCTGGACACTTTTTGTATCCGGATTTATCTTGGCCGCAGTTACCGGTCCGGTCGCCTTGGAAGTTGACTTCCTTGTAGCAACTGAGTGGAGCAGGCTTGGCAGCTAAAGTTTTGGACATTGGGAAGAGAAAGAGGGAGAGGTCAAAAGTCAAGAGCAAGGTGGAGAGGGAGCCAGCATTTTAGGCAAAGGTTCACAGGAGGTTAATTAGTCCAGGATAGTCATTTTTTTTTCATTTGCAATGTTTCTGTAGATTATGTAGATTTATCTCTAAGCATCTATATCTCTAATAGACCCATCCTCTAAATATATCTATCAATGTGTAGATTTAACACAGAATTATAGATTTATATATAGAGAAATATATTTATCTTTCTGGCTTAGAAACCAGAAGATGGTGAGTTCTAACCCTGCATAAGGCATGAAAGCCGGCTGGGTGACTTTGGGTCAATCACCAGGAGATGGTGAGTTGTAGTCCCACCTTAGGCATGAAAACCGGCTGGGTGACTTTCAGTCCAATCACCAGGAGACGGGGAGTTCTAGTCCTGCCTTAGGCATGAAAGTCAGTTGGGGGACTTTGGGCCAATCACCAGGAGATGGTGAGTTCTAGTCCCGCCTTAGATATCAAAGCAGACTGGCTGACTTTGAAACCAACCACCAGGAGACAGTGAGTTCTAGTTTCACCTCAGGCATGAAAGCCAGTTGGGTGACTTTGAAACCAATCACCAGGAGACAGTGAGTTCTAGTGCCATGTTAGGCATGAAAGCCAAGTGGGCGACTTTGGGCCAATCAACAAGAGATGGGAAGTTCTAGTCCCACCTTAGGCATGAAAGCTAACTGGGTGACTTTGGTCCAATCACCAGGAGACGGGGAGTTCTAGTCCCGCCTTAGGCATGAAAGTCAGTTGGGTGACTTTGGGCCAATCACCAGGAGACGGTGAGTTCTAGTCCCGCCTTAGGCATGAAAGCCAGTTGGCTGACTTTGGGCCAATCAGCAGGAGACAGTGAGTTCTAGTGCCATGTTAGGCATGAAAGCCAAGTGGGCGACTTTGGGCCAATCAAGAGATGGGAAGTTCTAGTCCCGCCTTCGGCATGAAAACCAGTTGGGCGACTTTCAGCCAATCACCCAGGAGGCGGTGAGTTCTAGTCCTGCCTTAGGGATGAAAGCCAGTCAGGCAACCTTGGAGGATGAAAACAAGCCTTGAAGGCCTCCAGGCCTGGGGTGGACTGGCACTGCCCCATCCGAATGCCAACCAGGGCAAACCCTGCTTAGTGACCTTGGGGGGGGGTCTGGAACCCCCTCCCCCCTCTCCCCACCGACTGCACCTCCGCTTCGCTTTTCCCTGGGAAAGACTCTCCTTGCCTTTGCCAAAGAACGCCTGGCAGTGCCGGTGGATGTCCAGGCAGTCCCCCGAATAGCAGGTGCTTTTGATGCCACAGGGCATCCCGTTTTGCTTGAAGACATCCGGGGGGCAGCTTTCCGTGGCCCCCGAACAATATTCATCCAGGTCGCAGTCGGAGACGGCTTCCCGACATACCGTTCCTACCTTTAGCAACTACGGGCAAAGAAAGACACGGAACTCGAACCTGGCTCTTGCCAGGCTCCCCAGGTGGTGGGGATTTAATAATAGAAGAACAGAGTAAGAAGGGACCTTGGAAGTCATCTAGCCCAACGTCCCTGCTCAGGCGGGAGACCCTACACCAGGGGTCCCCAACCACCGGTCCACGGACCGGTAACGGTCCGCGGAACAAGTCCTACCGGGCCGCTGGCTTGCTGGGTGCCGCCATCTTTTTTTGATGAAAAAGTGCTTCCGGTGAGCTTTTCTGGGTAGAAAGCTCACCGGAAGCACGTTTTCATCAAAAAAAGATGGCGGCACCAGCGCTTCCGGTGAGCTTTTCCGGGTAGAAAGCAGAGGTTGGGGATCACTGCCCTACACCATTTCTTACAGATGGCAGTCCAGTCTCTTCTATAGAAACAAATAAGTTAAGAAAAAAGAGTAAAGGGATAAAGATGGAAGTCAGCAATGGGGTGCCACAAGGGTCCGTCTTAGGCCCAGGACTCTTCAATATCTTCATGAACGACTTAGATGAGGGAATAGAAGGGGAACTTATCAAATTTGCAGATGATACCAAGTTGGCAGGAATAGCCAACACCCAAGAAGATAGGCTCAAGATCCAGATGGAGCTTGACAGACTAGAACCCTGGGCCGTATCTGACAAAATGAAATTCAATGTAGAGAAAAGTAAAGTCCTACACTTAGGCAAACAAAACCAAAACTACACCTATAGACTGGGTGAAACCAGGCTCAATAGCAGGAACTGGGAGAGAGATCTTGGAGTCTTAGTGGACAACCGGCTAAATAGGCCCTTACGACTTGTGGCAGCCGCCAAAAAAGCTAATGCAATACTAAGTTGCATTAAAAGAGGGATACAATCGAGATCAAGTGGGGTACTAATACCACCCTATAAAGCCTTAGTAAGACCACACCTGGAGTACTGCATCCAGGTTTGGTCACCACACTATTAAAAAAGATGTTGAGAGTATTGGGGAAAAGTGCAGAGAAGAGCAACCAGGATGATGAGGGGACTGGAGGCTAAAACATACGATGGACGGTTGCAGGAACTGGGCCTGGCTGGTCTAGGGAAGAGAAGGACCAGGGGACACAGGAGAGCAGCCTTCCAGGATTTGAGGGGCTGCCACAGGGAGGAGGAGGAAGAGGGTCAAGCTATTTTCTAAAGCCCCCAAAGGCCAGACAAGGAATAATGGATGGAAACTGACCAAGGAGAGATTCAACCTGGAAATAAGGAGAAACTTTCCGACAGTGAGAACAATCCACCCATGGAACAGAAGTTGCCTTTGGAAGTTGTGGGAGCTTCATCACTTGAGACTTTCAAGAAGAGACTGGACTGCCCTCTGTCAGAAATGGTGTAGGGTCTCCTGCTTAGGCAGGAGGGGTTGGACTAGATGGCCTACAAGTTCCCTTCCAACTCTGATTATCTGTTATCTGTCTACTTGTGTCAGGCATCGTGATGGAATGGCATCACGGTGTGACATTTTGGCTGGCCATTTGCCATTTTAACCTGGTTTGTTGCAAACTCAGATGCTTATAAGCTTATGGTTGGATAAAATGATACAACAGCGTGTTGACTTAAAACCAGAAATATTCCTGTTGAGGATCTCCCCTGAAACTTACAGTAAAGAGAATGTATATCTGATTATTCGTGTACTAACTGCAGTGAGAATCTTATTTGCTCAAAACTGGAAGAAGGAACAGATTCCCGTTGAATAAAATGTGATTAGGAAAATACTAGAATGTGCAGAAGTGAATAGATTAACACTTGCAATTAACGACAAAGCACAAACTGAATATTATAAGGTATGGGAACTATTCTATCAATGGCTAGAGAAAAAAAAAAGATGAAAACTAGATATAGTTAACGGATTAGTTAAGAAGGCTGAAATATAGAAGATAGCTTAATAGAAACAAATAAGAAAAAGAATAAAGGGATGGAGATATGAAGTATGTTAAGACAAGATTAGAGAATAATACCAATGCCATGAATATGATTGTAATTACCAGTTGTATTGCAGAAGATATTTGAAGCCAGACAACATGGTGTCAAAGGGAAGAAGATACGTTTGTAATAAAAAATAAAATAAACTTTATATATATAAAAAAAGATGCTTATAGGTTGACGGAAAGCAGCAAAGGGTCAAAGGCCCCCTGGAGTTGGTCTTGGTCTTACAGTGAGACCCTCCTGGGCCAGGACAGCCCCCCAATAGCCCCCCAAAATGGGGCCGTGCCAAGACCTTACCTTACAGTCCTGACAACAGGGTCCCCGAACACAGTTGGCACCGGGTGTCAGTTGGCAATCGTCTTGGCAGCAGCCGCTGATTATGCATGCCTGCCAGGAAGACAGTTCAGTTGAATCACTATGACAGGATTCCGGCTGTCACCCGAATTCAATCATGACCCCCCAAGCCAAGCTTCAAAAGAACCCAAACGATTTACTGTCCCCTGTGACCCTGTTTCCCCCTCCCCGCTGGGTGTGTCATCAATCACATTCTCCAACAAAGCATGTTCATGGCTGGGTGTCATCAATCACATTCTCTAATGAAGGATTTTCGTGGGCAGAAGATCCGGTAGCCTAGGCTACAATCTTTGTAAGATAAGTGTGGAATGTACTTCTGGTATTACTTGCCGTACTGCTCCTTCAGGTTTTTTTCCCCCCTCCTGCTTATGGCAACTCGGAAACAGGCATAGGGATGATGTACGAGTTGACACCCTGTTTCTCCAGGACGAGTTCACTTTTATGCATCTCGGCTGCAACGGTTCCTCCCGTCTCCCGAGGTCATTCTCACACCCCCTGCCTTTGCCACTCTGTGCCCACCCAAATGCCTCCTCGTCCCTTCTGAAGCAGCCTTCTTCTCTGTCCCTTTCCCCTTCTCCCTTTGCAGATTGACTTTATCTCTCTCTTTCTCTGTCTTTATCTCTTTCTCTCTCTTTCTCTTTCTCTCTCTCTTTCTCTCTCTCTCTATCTCTCTCTCTTCCTTTGTCTGTCTCTGTCTCTCTGTGTGTGTGTGTGTCTCTGTCTCTGTCTCTCTCCCCCCCTTTCTCTGTCTGTCTCTGTCTCTATCTCTTTCTCTCTCTCTCTGTCCCTCTCTCTTCCTTTCCCTGTCTCTGTTTCTGTCTCTCTCTTTATTTCTCTCTCTCTTTATCTCCCCCTCTCTTTCCCTCTCTGTCTTTCTCTCTTTCTCTCTCTCTCTCTCTTTCTCTCTCTCTCTCTTCCTTTCTCTGTCTTTGTCTTTATCTCTCTCTCCCTTTCTCTGTCTGTCTCTGTCTCTGTCTCT